CTTTCAGTACTCTTCCGTCCTACAAAAGATTGTAAATATATAAACTTTTCTATTAACTAGTTTCTAACTAGTTCTGGGTATATTACGATAAAACCTTCATTCAACCTGGAGAATTGTCAAATTCCAAGATATATTAATCATACATGATGATATATCTTATCAGCTGCTCTAAGCAATATTTCGATTAATAGTCTACATCTTAAACAAGCATCCAGTAATACTAAATTTATTGGTAATTATCATCTAAGAATAATAAATAATTATAAATAAGAGCGAACTAAATCCATGTATTGTTAACCGTGAGACATCATCCACAAAAGACAAAAAATACTTAAACTGGTATCATAGGAAATAATACTGACGTTTTTATAATAACCATACAGATCTTAAAACCACATGATATAAAGTCACTTCAGTCTTAACTAGTTAAAAATACTGACTCTTTTTTAAACTAAATAAAATTTAGTCAAAAAAACTAGACACATATCATTTACCTACACAGTAGTATAACAAGATCATTACTAGTTATTATAATACAGAAGACACATAAACTTGGCACTTAAGTCCCTTGGGTTGGATACGTATTGACAAAATTACTTTATATAGTTGAGATCATGAGTCAGTTGAAGCTAGACCACCATGGAAAACCTGGAAGCACTGAACGGCCGTTTCATCTTATTGTAGGACTCCTAAGCAGTGCACATCCACGATTAACAAGTTACAGACAAAATTATCATGAAAAAATATTAGTTTAAGAAATATACATGCGTTTTGTTTTGATAAGTATCCTCTTAATAAATTCTCATGAGAAATGTGATCAATTGGTTCTGTACTTGAGAAAAAACACACGAATGTATTCAATAGTGTAACTGTATGGTTCAATTAGTTATACTGATAAAATACTGCCTTGATAGGATAATTTAGTTGATTATATAGTGAATATATAAAATCGAACTTATTCATGTCATTTTCATATATAACTTAGGAAATAACTAGATTTGAAATATTTATTCTTATTTAATTCATATAATTCATACAATAAACACTTTGATTGTGAATTGAGATATTCATGATCTTTTTAAGAAATGTTATATAATCAATATTTTCAATTGCTAACATTTAATTAACTTGACAATAACAAAACAACTTCGTTTATTCAGATGAAATAATAACAATAATGTAAGCAAAGATGGATAGTGGCTAACAGTGGAATCCAGGACGTACGTTTCGTCCTATTTGGGACTCGTCAGCTGGATGTACCTGCATCTCAGAGTTGATGTTCACTCTGGAACTCGAACCCAGCACCTCTCGCTTCAAACGCCAACGCGTTATCCATTCCTGATAGCCACTTGCTTGTACAATGGGGTGAAGTTTGGATTCACTTAGTATTGTTTGTTTAAATCTTTCCATCGTTGTTTAGGACTGCAACTGGTCTGCCTCTAATTGGCAAATGTGCATAGCCACTATCCATCTTTGCTTATAATGCTTGTGAATTAAGGCAATATCGAGGCAATACACACAGTATGCACATATACCAATTAGAGACTGACCAGTTGCAGTCCTAAACATCAATGAGAAGATTCAAACAAACAATACTGAGTGAATTAAATAATAATAATAATGGTTACTATCGAATATTTAACTACAATAAATTACTGTGTATATTTTCTATTTTTGTCTCATTACACAGTAAATCAAATAGACATTTTGATTTGTGTTCGTCATTTGTATTCTATAAGCAAGAAAAGTACAATGTTTTCATTGTGGATAAATTGTGGATAGAACATTAAATAATCCCCTCGACTTATATATATATATATATATATATATATATATATATATATATATATATATATATATATATATATATAGGGGAGAGTTAAACCGACATTCCTTCTAAAACGCTACCTTATTAATAACTATTCATTTCACTACAAATATATATTAACTAAGCGGATAAACTAAGATATACTTAGTGCAAATCATTTAAATAGATGAAACATTTCCTTCACAAAATTTATATATATATATATATATTCACAAGACTAAATGTTGATAATTTAGTGCCGTACTTCTCATTATCTGTATTGTACTTCACTTATCCAGTTTACACAAATTATTTTATATTAAGATTTGTAAATAGTATATGAATGTGTGCCTTTTAGTACATTACACAACATCATATATCATTTGCTCAATAGGTTACTATTACTATTCTAAGTGCATCTCTTTGACAATAATGATTGAAAATTGTTTTTTTTCTAAATAATATGTACTTCATTCATAGGATGTATATAGTAGAATATTTAATTACTTGAAAATAAGTTATCAAATGATATAATTATTTCTATCTCTTTTCCGTCTAATGTTTAAAATAATCTGTAAATTTGACAATATTCTAAACAAATAAGAACTGTAGTTCATTTGGTATTGTTCACTTGAATATTCCCATCAATATTTAGGACTGTAAATCATCAGTCTATTATTAGCGTATGTGCATCCTCTGCGTACTCCATCGATATTGCCTTAAGTCACAAGCTTTATAAGTAAAGATAGTTGGTGGTTAGTAGTGAAATGCAGAGGGTGCGTTTCGTCCCATTTGGTACTCGTCAGACGAATGTACCTGTATTCCAGATTTCATGTTCATCCCGTGACTGTACTATATTCACTTGTAATATTAACAAATAAAAAAACTGAAGAGATAGAATAATTTGAATAAATTGAAAAATGAAAGCAAATTAGTGTTGAACATTTGGACTTTTGAGATGGGAACTATTGTAGCATGAATAAAATATACATAGATTAAAGTTTATACATTAAATTCATTCAAGAAGAGTAATAACCGAAACAATCAATAACCTTTTTCGTAACTATATATATATCACTATGTGTGCTAACTATATTTCTGTGCATTATCGATATTTTCATGAATAATCCTCAAAATAAACATATTAATTTCCATTACGAAAATAATAACTTTTCTTTTTCAAATCGAAGCTTTCGCTAATTCATTTGTTTTAAACTATACTTAAGACAATCTAAGACTTCATAGAAATTGTCTGTGATTTAATTATGTCAATAAATACCTAACTGTAATCTATTCTTGAATCCATCGATGTTTCCTTTTCTACAGTATGCCTGAGAAAATCATACTTGATAAAAGAATAACATTTTAGGTGCGATATTTTTTTTAAAATTTCAAAAATTATCCACAACTAAAAAAATGGTCATCTAACAACTCGTAAACTATGGAACTATTTTTGAAAAATGTAAAAGTATTCCCAATTAAAAGTATTATAAACCACTAATTAAATCATGTCCAATATACTTTGTATAATTGCTTTTCATTTTAACTAATTTTAAGTACATATGAACATTGTTAATGTTGATCTGACTAAATTGTGTGAAAAATTAGTAAGACGTAATAAGAGGGGATCAATGCGATGTGAATGAAACATGTATTGGGGAGATTAATAATGATGTTTAACCAATAATAATAATAATAATAATAATAATAATAATAATAATAATAATAATAATAATACAAATATTTGCGAATAAAGATAAGAGAGACAATTACATTTGACTACGAAAGGTCGTAAGTACAATAGTCAAATTAGGTCATTCAATAGCTAAGATTACTATTGATTAATTTGCCTTGTGGTTGGCCAAGGGAGGAACAGGGGTTGGATATATTTCTTCTGTACGCATAGCTCCGGTTTCTTCATCCTGCTGGCTACTGCCTCAGACGTTTGAAGGACTTTAAGCCTGACACGCTTTGGCAAAAAATAACTGACCCTATAAATAATTGATTGGTTTATACTGGCACTATGACCAGTTTGTACTAAATGGGTCAATATCGAGCTATTCACTTTCTTCACCAAACCTTTGCTTAACGACGCTTGGAGGTGTTCGCAAGCACCAAAATGTAAATTCCGAGAACTTCGACCAATATAACTTGCTCCACAGGAGCAGTCGAACTGATAAATACAAAATGAGGTGGTCATTCTAGGTAATCCATTTTTTCATGTAGTTTATTGATAATTTTAACATTTTATCTTAAATAAATAAAAATCCTTGATTCTTTGTAGATAGGAAATATCTGTTTTTTAAAGTTTCTTACATTGAGAATTCTTGAAATCGGTAAAATTTGTCTTACGTTAATAAAAGTAAGAGCTAATATTATCTAAAATGACTATAAAAGCTTTACATTTAGGATATTCAATTCAAAAGATACAAAAATATTAAAATTCATCACCTGATTCATATACTCTCACTCAGGACTTCAACATCACACTAAAAATAATCATTTAATCACTAGTGACTAGCCTCGAGATGTATTTCTCAACGTCCTATTGAGAACTTGTGACTAATAGAGTTCATTTGTGTCGGGTATGAGGCAGTTACCTACCGAAGACAATGAAAGATGGTCACGAAATATCATGGACTGGTTGAAGTTAAAAATGAACATGGCTCAGTGGTCCATAGATTAAGTGTTAGTGCGAGACTGGAGGTAATGTTTTCCAATCCCACGTAATAAATTGTAGATGTGCACTGCTGAGGAGTCTCGTGCTAGGATGAAACGGCCGTCCAGTGCTTTCAGGTTTTCAATGGTGGTGTAAAACTGATCGGTTCGTGATTGAGCAATTTCCATAACCTCACACTGAAAACCTATGTTTTCTGTTTTATCGAGTTTTGTAATAGTAGCTACCTTCTATAATAAGACATTTTCTTGATTTTGGTACGAACAGTTTATTAAATAAACATTTAAAACTAAGCATTTATATGACCATCCAATTTGTTTACTGAAATACATTAGGAAGAGCTTAAACAGACACAAGTTGCTGAAAAGATATTATATATATAACATACAATTCAATTTATTGTATAACCATTATGGTCTGCACACCAAATTTTCACATTTCTTCACCAGATACTAAATTTTAAAAAAGTAACTTAAATTTAATTTTTATTTTCTAATTTTTTAATAATTTTAACAGAAAGAGTTGCTATTCAAAAAACAAATGAAAAGGTCAGATGAATGCAGTAAGTTCATATACTATGTGAAAATGTTTTTGTATTATTCAATATTCATTAACACTTCCCAATATATTTTTGTAAGGAGATTTACACATTAGAAAGGGTTTTTGTGGAGATTTCAGTAATTTTATATAGTTGAAATCATGAGTCAATTGAAGTTAGACCACCATGGAAAAACTGGAAGTACTGGACGATCGTTTCGTCCTATTGTAGGACTTCTCAGCAGTGTGCATCCACGATCCCACCTCGAGAAATTCAAACCCAGGTTTGTTGTGAGATATCAACTCACTGAAGACAATGGTAAATGGTTGAAGTTAGACATTAACACTGTTGGATGCCGGCTTAATGGTCTAGTGGTTAAGCGCACACGGGCGAGAGTGATAGGTCCTAGGTTCGAATCTCGTGAGACGGGATAGTGAATGCGCACTGCTGTGAAGTCCCACAATAGGACGAAACGGCCGTCCAGTGCTTCCAGGTTTCCCATGATTTCAACTATAAGATTTACATAGTCAAATACAATTTTTGGTCATAAATTAAAATCAGTTAGTGAATTAATAAGAATTATGAAACACTAAACAATTATTTTATTTCAATGTGTAAAATGAAAATCTATCTTAATTTCACTATGAGAAATAGTCAAGTAATTTGAGGTTTATCTTTGGCAATGCATATTATGACATAATATCAAATATTACCGGAGGTAGAAAACGTGCCTTGATATTCTTAATGAACAAAATAAGAAATTTTATTCAAGTTAATTTGATCAGTTTTCTTGAGCCGGTCTTTGTTTAATCTATCAAATTACTAACTTCTTTCACTCTATCTCGCTAAACGTCATGATTTTACCAAGTATTTCTATCTCAGTCAGTCACAACGTAGAATTTCGTACATACGTACATCAGTCCGAGTTGCCACACAAAATTAGCACAGAGATGAAGTTGTCGATTCAAATCCTATAGTGGTAGAAGTAGTAAAAGTATAAGCATTATGTGAAAGATTAAGGTTTAAAGACGTTATTCAACGAGTATAATACAGTGAAATAAATTTGAAAAGAGAAAAAGGATAGGGACATGAAGAATTCAAAAGGTTAGAATTTGGTAGAACACAAAGAGTGGATGCACCTTCTCCATTGCAAACGATTTTGAGCCATGTCATTCAAGGTCTCTAACCATCGATTGCTATCATCTGGCGCATCCCAACCAGATAGCCTACACCTACCAACATGGCTCAGTTCAATTGTTAGTGACTTTATCGATTCGTGCCACGTTTTGGTCTGGTCGCCCCTAGCTTTCTTCCAACCTGCTCCTACACCATAAAATATTGCACGTCGGGGCAGTCGGTGGTCGGGCATATGTAACACATGTCCCAGCCATCTCAACTGATGAAGTTTCACCACTTCATCAATCGATTTGCCATCCCTACCTAGTACTCGTTTCCTAACAACCGCATTACATACTCGGTAGTCTCAGGATATACGAGCAATGCTTCGAAGACACCTATGATCGAAAACTAGTAGCCTACGAATGTCCTCTACTCTTATCGGCCATGTTTCACTGCCATAAAGTAGGACGGAACGAACTGCTGCGCAGCAAACCCGTCCTTTTGTTGCTAGACGGATTTCTCGCCTACGCCATAAATGACGCTAATTGGCGAAAGTTAGACGAGCCTTCTGTATCCGTGCTGAGATTTCGCCGCACACCAGACCACAAGGGCTGATGAGACTCCCAAGATAAGTGAAGCTGTCAACACGCTCAACTACTTCACTCCCTATCATTAGTTCAGGTGTCGATGCAACCCAATCCTGAAGTAACATTTCGCACTTCAAGGGGGAGAATCGTATCCTGAGATTTAGATGATGAAAGTGCCGATGACAAAGTTAAACAAGAATGGGGAGAGTGGACAGCCCTGACGAACGCCACTTGTGGTAATCAATTCTGATGACAGTTCGCCATAGGCTAGTATTTCTATTTAAATAATCTTAAAAACCAATGACTAGTTATTGGGTAATATTTTTCAATGTATCACAATAGAATGAAATATCTGAAGCAATCTCGTTTAAGAAATTATAAATTAGAAAGTATAATATACACCAAAAAATCATGGTTGATAGTTATATAAGGAAGGACTGAGTATTAATCAGTGTTTATCGATGAACAGTTTTTAATTAATGGACACATTTCTGTAGTTAACATATTCGTTTATACCATTGTATTGTTAAATATACATAAGTATGGTCTTTATTGATTGATTTCAGTGGAATTTGGTGACCCTGTATATCATTTACTGCGATGTGCTGCATCTCCTGGTAAGTAAATTGATAACATAAGAATTCTCAAGCATTTTTCAGCAGCTTGTTTGTTATTTTACTAAATGAAATACATGGATATAGATGATAGGTGGTTGGAAGTAGATAACTAAAAATCCTGCTTGACCTAGGTTTTATATCAATTAAAACTTAGCAGTAGCTTGTTCCTGTGGTAGTTAGCGAACTGATTTACTCTGTGGAATTCAAACTTGCATCACCCAGTTTCACATATTAGGATAGTATCAGAAAGCTAGTCAGGTCAAGTGCCGAATAGCATGAAGCCTTAATCAAACATGTTTTCTTGTTGATTACCGCCAACCACCTAACATTTCAATGAAGTTCATGTGATATCGTGTTACCTGAAATAATTGCTAAAATGCCACTTATGTGATAGGATTTGGACAGAATTTAGAAGGATAGACGAATATTACATCGGTCACTTTTCAGTGATTAAACAATAGTAATTTAGATATTCACCAAACGTAAAATATCATTTAAATAGTACAACTCACTCTAACATCAGTTAGTTTAAAACTGTCGGTTTTACGTTAGTTTTCACCTTGACAACACAAACTGATTTCTTGAGACTCTAACACTAAAATTGTCTAACCAAATGGAATAACATGTGAAACGTTGAAGAATAATGTTAAACGTTTATCAAGTTTTCTATATACATATCAATTATGACCTGAATGTTTGTACATTAAATTTGGATAGTCTTATCTAAACGAAGCAGCATCCATATTTTTTCTAAGTTATCCTCAGTCCCTTATTATATATTCAGACAGGAATTAGACTCATTCCTGTAATTCTTTACTAAAAATATGTTTATGAGTTCAACTAGCCATTAAAATACCACCAGTAACTATGATATATTTTTTATGAAACTATGTCACTTATTTAATTGTTATATCGTTCTTACACTATAGTAGTGAATTAGAACTAAACTTTGAATAAAAGTAATTGTTTCACTTCTCATCAAGAATGTAGAAATATTATTTCAATCATAGTTACTATTTCATTATGTTCTCGTATGCATATTACTTACTTACTTACATACGTACTTACGCCTGTTACTCCCAATGAAGCATAGGCCAACGACCACAATTCTCCAACCCACTCTGTCCTGGGCCTTCCTTTCTAGTTCTATCCAACTTTTGTTCATTCTTCTCATGTCTGTCTCCATTTCTCGGTGTAATGTGTTCTTAGTTCTTCCTCTTCTCCTTTGACCTTTACGATTACATGTGTGTGCTTGTCTTGTGATTCAGTTGGGTGATTTCCTCAATGTATGTCCTATCCACTTCCAATGCTTCTTCCTGATTTCTTCCTCCACTGGAATCTGGTTTGTTATCTCCCACAGTAGGTTGTTGCTGATAGTGTCTGGCCAACGGATCCTAAGTATCTTGCGTAGATAACTGTTAATATTACACAAATCAGAAATTCTATATGAAATAAATACTTAAGATATTTATTTTACTATTTATTTCTTTTAGGTCATCAACCATCAACATGTAAATGTATTTGTCATTTAGAAAATGGTGATGAATGTCATAAAATAGTAAGTGAAATGTCTAAACCAATTAATGTTATATGTGCACCAGCGGCACGTAGAAAATCAAATTATCCAACATTATCAACAAGTACATCTAATTATTATCATCAATTTACTTCATCTAATATAAATGATAATACAATACAATTAAAAACAAAATATTTAGCATTCAAAAAAGATAGAACTCATTCAAATAATCATCATTCTATTCATCATCATGTATAATGATTAATAAATTAATTATATTTTATATTCTAATCAAATGTTTACTAATAAATTGTACATTACTACTAACTATGAATTAAGTAGTAATAATAATAATGTTTTCAGTCTTTATGATTATAAAGTGTAAACTTTTATTTCATAAAAATCAGACTCTTAATTCATCAAAACTGAATTTAAAAGGGTGTTTTTTTTTAAAAAAAAAAGAAGAAAGAAAACAAAGAAAAGAAAACCGATCCCAATTTAATTTAAATTTTCCAAAATGATTCTATTTTTTTAATTATTATTATTTATCCGTTTACTTTTACCATTGTGGATCAGATTTTAAATTTTATTTATACAATTTCTCAATCATTCATTATGTAATCAAATTTAAACTAATAAACCATGATGAATGAAATATTATGCTATGAGATAATTTATTAATATCCATTCAACATTTCTTTCTTTTTTCTTTCCTTCTCTTTATTTCTTTTTCTTTCTATCTATTTTTTCTTTTTTCTTTCCTTCTGTTTTATTTCCTTCTTTTTCTTTCTCTCTATTCCTTTTTTCTTTCTTTCCTTTTTCTTTCTTTCTCTATTTTCTTTAAAATGTATAATTTAAAAAATGTGTTCAATAATAGAAATGATAAAAATCGATCAATCATTAAAGCGCCTTTAAATGATTAAAATAGATTTTTTTTAGACTATTTGTTCATATTTTTCACATTTTCTTTTTTTTTTTAAATTTTAAAAAATAAACACTGTGAATATCATCAATACTCATTTACTAATATCAATGTATACCTTGTTAATAATAACACATTCCTTAGTTTTAGTAAACATAAACTAATATATAAACATTAAAATGTTAATTAGCAAGCCAACTCATATGTTAAATTAGTTTTATTTAGGTGTACTAAAACATATAATTTACATATATACATTTTGTGATTAATGAGTAACATATTTTCTCCTTGACTTTAACTTTCAAACGTAACAAGAGATAGAATATGAACGAAGAAGGAATAAATGAAAAGAATATGGAACTCTTATTTCACTGTTCATTTTTCTGAATCTTTTTGTTTATAACTTTTCTATTTTATTTAATAATAACATGTACAACTACATGGATACATAGAGAATTACCTGAAACAGGTTGTAGTTTTTCTCTTCATCTATATTTCTTTTATTGTATTTTTCTTTTTGTAAAATATATTTCTAATTGTCTTCAATGGTCGAAAAATAATGAACAGGATATGAACTAACAGTGTTCAGAAGATTAAAGCTAGTTGCGGACGCTCTATCCACCCCCCGCAACAAATACCTACTCAAGAAAAATATTAATTTATTTGATATCTTACTGTATTTACGTTATTCTTCTTTTTTTTTCTTGATAATCTTAATGGTCTTTAAACTGTGATTCTTTGTTAATCAATTCTCTATTAGATGTTAACACTGGTGATAGAATAAAACAAGATAATAATATCATGAATCGAAATACATGTACACATACAAAACAACAATACATATTACAGAAAAGAAAAAACTTATATACATTTGATTATACCATGAGTCAATGATTATCAACATTTAACGTTTCATTAAAAGAAAACAGATTAGCAGAATAAAAAAAATAATACTGATCAATTATCAGTTTCTTTTGAATTGTTGATCGTATTAATGTACACTCAGTTCTTAAATAAATTCATTGTACAAGCTATTTCTTAGTTTGTAAATTAATCTTTTTCCCTCTTGTTATCGGTTATTTCAAATGTTTATTATGTAAATATCAAATATAAGGATGAATAAATCTATAAACACTAGGATTGTATTAAAGATGCAATGAATATCACTCCATTTTCAAAGGTGGATTTCAATCTATTGAGGGAAGAAGAACATTTGCTTGGAATGAAATAGTTAGGGGTTATAAAGTTGTTGTATATAAAAATTTATGTTTCACAATTTCGTCCACCATGTACCAATCACTTTTTATTTTAATTCTGTTTCTAATAAGCTCTGGTCAAGAAAAATTCAATGGTGTGAACAGAAACTTAAATAGAAGATTAAATTTAATGTACGATCGAGAGCTGTATACGATGAGAAGAACAAGAATAAAGGCAGTGAAGTGAGAAACTTGTATAAAGTATTGTATCAGTTTACGGAAGACTGATATTCGAGAGGGCCTTTTTAATGTAAGCTAAAATTACTAACAGTTTATAAGCCTCAATTTAATAAAACTTACATCGACTGTATCTGAATGAAAGATGATTTAAGTATTTTAATATAACCATTACCTTACGAAGTTACACAGTTATTTAACTACTATGATGAGTTAACATTTATCTCTTGGTTTCTCTTAATTAATTACTTCATGATGGGTTTTGATTAAAGCTATCTTGAAACTAATAAAACATATCAAACTGAGAGTGCGTATCTCCCATTTAAAACACAAATATAGGCCTTAAAGCAGTAAATAAAAGGATTTCGTCTTTAAACCGAACTAAACTTCCCACCAGAAAATTTAAAACAAAGCTACCGTTTTCAGTAAAATGACCAGCAAACCAAATAACTTGGTACTACTTGACTCTAAGATAGTGGTTGGAGGTGGTTAACAGGAAAACCTGCACTCGGGTTACGTGTTACTCGGCAACCGTCAGCAAGGTGTACCTGTAATCTTGAGGGAACTGGCACTCCCTGAGGAATGCGATCCCGTGTCACCCAGCTTCACAGTCAGAGACGTTACCACTGAGCTATCTAGCCCGCGACCGACCTCCTCTAAGACTGATGGCACCAGTTCCATCAAGATTACAGGTACACCTTGCTGACGAGTGCCAAGTAGCACGAAACTCGGGTCTAGAGTTTCCTGATTACCACCTCCATCTTGTCTCAACATAGTGCGAACAGTGTCGAGCCACCTAGACAAGTGGCCACATTGCAACTTGATAAATACCATTCGATCTGCACTAAGAAGGACTTGACACACATGACACTCATCACCACCCAGTGATCAATCAATTGTGACTACTTGACTCTCTTAAAAAATATCAAAAAGTTAGGTAATAAAATTAAGTATTATTCTACATTTATAACGACACATAGTTTCTGTATATCCTAACAGCAATATAAAGCTGCTCTTGAAACAAGTGTTTATATTTCATTTGATTTGAATATATATATATATCTTTCGTCATCAAACCTAGTTTATTAGTTAGATACATGACAAACAATAGGAGAGGTATATCCAAAAGAAAGTTCAAATGATTGATTAAAAATTTATTCAAATTTAACTTAATCAAACTACATGAATTCACTAAGAAACCAAGTAAAAAGGTTTGGCTTATTAAGTAAGGCATAGAACTTCAAAGTTCAACAAGTCTAATGACTTTATAAACACATTTATTTCAGTTATCCCTACGTTAATTATTCTTTTTTTATATTTCTGGATTAATGAAAGTTACTACTGACTATTAGTATTCAATATTTATTATGTTCTTTTTGATGATTCAATCAAAACTGTGCTGATCACGTAAATTAACTAGAATTTGAATATGCAACACATCACTGAGTTCTAATTTATTATCTAAAGGTGTCGTCATCACTACAAGATCTAAATGTCCTTTATTTGATTTATTATGAGATTAAATGGAAGTATATATTCCTATCTACATCAAAACAGTCATCAGGACACTTCTGTTTTTCATAAATACCTAGAATGATCACACTTTTACGATAGAAACATTTGTTAAAACTATTTAAACAATTGTTTTATATTCATTAAAATAATGACTGGTTTCTATATGATCTATCTATATGGTCTCCAAAGTGAATAATGGCCAGAAAATATCCTAGATTTCAATTGTGAATCTGAAAGGGACATTTAGAGAAAACTTTTAGTAAGTAACACATATACATGATCCAAAAAAACTCAATAAACTCACGGTGGTCTTTTATCAATAAACATGGTAAGATGTACACATGTCTAGCAACAAAAAAAATGCTTTTTTGTAGTGGTTTTGTTTAAGTGATGAATACCTATCCTTGTCGGAACTGAATCAATAATCATTTTATTTATATGATTGTTTAGTTATCATTTGTTTGCTATACACAAGTTTATAAATTGCTTAACATATGTTATTATGTTCTTTTAACTATTTCATATCACGTCATTGCACTTCACTTGTATATATTTTCAATTTTTTTTACTTCTCCCCCCTTGACTGTATACTACTTAATTCAATTCAATAGGTATGTATAAAATAAAATGAGCTTGTATGCAATGAAAATGAAATCGTTGTTAAATATATAATTTTCACAATTGAAATCATGAGT